TTTCGTATTAGCACAATTAAACAGGTTGCATGGAAGGAAAAGCAATATACACCAAGAGGCTAATCAGACACTAGTTACCTTTTCCACTACCAGCATGTGTCCCTGCAAGCCTACTGAATCCCTTCTGTCTACTACAGCCTCAGGGTGCTCCTGTTCGCAATCTCCTCTTCTTACATCTAGTTGCTCTCAGTCAGGGCCCAAGGCAGCAGACTCCCTCACCTGCTTTCCGGGTTCAGGCATTTCTGTTTTCTGGTATTGCATCCTTAATCTAAAAGAAGGCTCACAATTGCATAAAAACACCATTCTTAGCTTTTATACAGAAGAGTTCATTTTCCACCTCTTCAAAATCATCACGCGATCTAGAGGAATCTAAGTGCTAGATCTAACTGAAATGCATCCACAAGGGCCATGTGTATAATAGACCAATAGCAATAGACCACGAAGTGACCATGCCACAGATTCTGTGTCTCTTTTATTTTTTTTAGTGATGCTGATGGGGTCTTTACTTTTTTTCACATTGAAAATCTTTTCATTTTTTCACTGTTGCACATTTCTTCCCCTTCTCCTCTCTCCTGCCCCAGCCCTCCCAACTACGCACCCCATGTTCCAGACTGCTGTCCTACAGATCATGTCATATACTCCTTGGAACAGTCCTTCCCTTCGCCTAATCTAATGCCGTATTCACTATTTATCCACTTTTCCATTCCCTTCCCAACCCCAGCCCATGGCCACCCTATTTTATAACAGCAGTGTTACACAGTATTTGTCCTTTTGTGACTGAGATATTCTACTCAGCATAACGTCCTCCAGGCTCCCTCATGTTGTATAGTTTTATGAATTCATTGTTTTTCTGGTGTTGTGTAATATTCCACTGTGTGACTGTACCACAGTTTTTCTATCCATGTGTTTATTGACTGGCACTTGGGTTGCTTCCATCTCTTTGTGAATAACGTGGCAATAAACATGAGTGTGTAAACATCTGTTTGAGTTGTGGCTCTGGTTTCTTCTGGGTATACTCCCAGTAGTGCAACTGCTGGGTAAAACGGCATTTCTACTTCCGACTTTTTGAGAAAGCGCCAGATCACCTTGCATAGTGATTGTACCATTTTAAACTCCCACCAGCAGTAAATAATCCTTCCGATCTCTTCACAACCTCACCAGCATCTGCTATTTGCTGCCCTCTCAAACTTTGTTATTGCTGCTAGGGTGAGAGGATATCTCATAGTTGTTTTAGAATTTCTCTAATTTTTAGCTCCTGAAAAAGAAGACTACAGATTGCTTAGAAATCAGAGATTTGGTAAAATGTAAAATCGTTTGCTATACCATTCTGAGAGGGATCAGAATAGGAAACCTTAGATAGAGTAGAAGAAAAAGGAGGTAAAATGATAAAAAAAAGCCCTGGCTTACTGTCCCAACAGATTCAGAACCCAAGTCTAACGCCCTTTCTTACACACCTTCCAAGCCTGGAACTGAACTCTCACTGCCATGGCTCACCTTAAAGTCAAACAATAAACAGGACAGGACGGTGAGGTGGAAGGGAGGTCCAGTGGTGTTGTCACTAGGACATTGTGCTGTTAACCAAAGCCCACGCCTCTAGCAGCCTAAACTGACCAGCGGCTCCAAACGACAAAGATGGGCAGTCTCCTCCCATGTGATTCACAGCCCCCAAACAACTGATGAGACAAGATGAATACCACCAAGGAAGTGTACACCTCTTAAACCACCAAGCACAGATCAGAAGGGCAGCATCTGCCTGGGATGAAGCTGAGAAGGCAGGAAGAGACAGGATATGAAGGACTGGCCCGGGAGACAGGAAGGAAGCATGTATGGGAGGGGCAATCCATGTCATAAAACAAGGCGTGGGAACTGTCAAGGGGGACACTCAGACGACTGAAAACTTCTGCACAGAGTAAGCTTGAAAAAGGAGCTTTGCAATGAAACTTGAGAAATGTGTAAAACATTTCCTTCAAGTTTTTCTTAATCTTTACTCAGATACTTTTCTCCTCGTTTTGAATTATGTGCATAAACCACAAAAGGTTTTTATTGGTTTACTTTGCACTATTTATTACAAAACAGTACTATTTTTTTTCTTTTTTTTTTTAAAAATATGGAACGCTTCACGAATTTGCGTGTCATCCTTGCGCAGGGGCCATGCTAATCTTCTCTGTATCGTTCCAATTTTAGTATATGTGCTGCCGAAGCGAGCACAAAACAGTACTATTTTTATTTCTATTTTTTGTAATATTGATTACAAACTGTATTCAAGTGTATCCATTTTGTTGTTTGTTGTTATGTGCCATCGAGTCGTTTGCGACTCTTCGCGACCCTATGTACAAGAGCCCTAAACGCCATTCCATCCTGTGCCAACCTCGCTGTCTCAGACACATTCATTGCCACCACTCCACCACTCCACTCACAGAATCGATCCATCTCATTGAGGGTCTTCCTCTCCTGCACCGTCCCTCTCCAAGGACCAGTCCCTCCTTGCAACATGCCCAAAGTATAGCAGATCAAGCTTCAGAATCCTTGACTCCAGGGAACATTCTGGCTTCACCCTATCCATTTTACATTTTATTTGCTCACTTGAAAACTTTTCAAATATTAAGAAACCAAAAATGGAGACCTTCGTGCAACCCCTGCTATGAACACAGTACCACGGAAAGGTCCAAATCCCTCTCCTGGGTAATCTTCTTCCACCAAAATAATCCCAGGGCCAGTATTATTCATTCCAGCAGAAGACAGCCAATCTGTGCATGGTCACAAAAAGAAACAAGCCCAGCCAGCCTTCTAATCCAGAGTCCTCTTCCTGACCGTGGACTGGCCCAGAAGACTATCTCTCTCATCATTAGATGAAATGCACTAGATATGGGGCATTTATTCTCAAGGAGACCAGGCGGATCCCCCTGGGCAGGCAATCAGGAGGCACCTGAGACGGCCATGCCCTCGGGAAAGCAGAGGGCCACTGAAACGGGACATCTCCCTGCAGAGACAGCACAGGGCTGAGTGAGGCTCCTGCTGTCCACAGGGTCATGTGGAGACGGAACCAAGTCCACGTTATCTAACTCATCAATTTGTAAGGACCTTAGTAAAGTTTAATTTAAAAGCCAAGTCTACTTTCCACTATCAGAAAACTGTTTTCAAAGGTCTTGGACAGAGTGGGAGAAAGAGGTAGAACAAAATACAAATTTTCTTTTTAAAAAAAAAAAATCCCAGATGTGGTGGACTGACAGCCTGACAACTCACCCCACCCAGACCAGCACATTCATCCATACAGATGTCCCTCATGTGGAGGTGACCCCTCATGTGGAGGTGACCCCTCTCGTGGTGCTGAAACGATTTCTGCAGATCCTGTCTCAGCCAACAGAGCTGTTCAGAGAGTAAACACCACACATGAGGAACGTGCTCCTGGGAACCACATGGTCAAGTCGCCCAAAGCCAAGACAAGATGGACGAAGGGAAGGGAAGCTCCCTCAAAGGAAACAGAAGCAATGGAAGGAGCATGCTGACCAACTGTGATGACTGCAGTCAATGTCACTGCCGATCTGCAGAAACTGCTAAGGGGGCACTGATTTGCATGAAGGTGTCCCCATTAAACATTTTAAATATGAAAGACAGGAAATGGGCAGCTCAAGTGCTCTTTAGAAGGAAGGAGGGGAGACACATCACCATGAGGGACTGTTTTTTGGTGTCATCGAGTCAAGTATGACTCCTCAACCTTCTGAACAGAACCCTGGTCTATCCTGTGCCATCCTCACAGTGTCTGACACCCTTGAACCCACTGCCTCAAGCCCAGGAGTCATCCCTGGAAAAGGACATCATGGTTGATAGAGCACAGGGTCAATGAAAAAGAGGCTTCAAGCAGTTAGAGCAAAGCAGCAGCTGTGACAGTGGCCGGGAGCAGAGCAGCGCCAGCAAGGACGGCCCAGGGCCAAGCAGCAGCCCCGCCTGCTGCACTGGGGAGCTGGCTTGATGGGAGGGACCCAAGGACAACACCAGGACTGGCAGATGTCACTCGGGTGGTGGAACAATGTGGGTCTGGGTGCTCATGATAATTTCTGGGTTTTTTTAATGATGAATCCAACTTCAAGATCGTTGTAAACAGAAGAAGAAATTCATAAAACTGTAGCAATACCAAACAAACCCGCTGCCACTGTGTCCACCCACGGTGACCCTCCCGGGGGCGTCCCAGGTTGTCAGTCTTTAGGGGAAGACTGCTTCCGTGTTCTCTTAGGAGCAGCTGGAGGACTCGAACCGCTAACCTGCTGGGTTAGCAGCACAACACTCCAAGCACAATGCCACCTGAGTTCCTGTCCTAGGAGGCGCCCAGCCTGGTACTTTCAGGGAGATCCCTTCCAGCTCACTGAAAATAAGGCTTTTATGGGGGGTCAGGACTTAAGACAGGTAACATACAAACTACACACTAATCTGGTGTTTTCAGTAAGGTTTCTGGTCATTAGTAGCCTCCTAATAGCTACATTTTGGGGAATGACAAGTGATAGGCCGATCTGACCCTGCAGGATCCCCACGTGCAGCCCAAGTTGCCCAGGATCAACTGTGTAACGAATTCCAGGCCCAGTTCACCAGCAGCAGGTGAGCTCTCATCAGAAATCGCAATGCTGGTGTGGTCCCGTCCTAGTCCCAGGTGTTCACGACCCCAGTCACTTACCTGGACAACGTGGTTTTCCCAGAGCCTGGCAGGCCTCTTAGGAGGATCAACAACTTCTGCAGCTTCTCCAGCTTCTCCTCTTGGAACTCCTGCTTCACGAGTGTGTCTGTCTCGGGACACACGTCCCTGGGTGGATCTTCCCAGTGTCCCACCCCAGTTCCAAAGTTGTCCCACGGTGCCTGTCCAGGGGGCTCACTGTGGCCATCTCTGCAGAGACCCCCGGGGCATCCACTGGCCTGCCCTGGCGCTGGGCTGCTCCACCCAGAGGGACAAGCGTCCATATAGTAGCCGTTCCACACCTGAGTGTGGTCGGGGACCTGGAAGATGGTTGGTGGGGCATCTGGCAGGACTTGGAATCTCTGTACGTGGACAGGATAGCTGATGCCAGGTGGAAACTGTGGGGCAGGACCATCGGGCATGAGGAAGGCGGGCATGTATTGCCAGCCCGGCCGGAAGGGAGCGAAGGTGGCCTCGGAGTACAGTGGGCCTGACCCCCTGGCACAAGGGTAGCCCACCGGTGTACTCTCTACAAACTGTGGGTAAACCCCAGGGGACCAGGCCACATCGTCGCTGGCAGGCTGCTCGCTGACCCCCGGCAGGTCACCAGGCTGGCCCTGTGGACAAGGACCTGGCTCTTCACTGGGGGCACAAGGCGCAGGGTCCTGCCAGCTGCTTTCCAAATCCTCAGGGGTCTTTTCGAGTGCTTCAATTTCTCTGTAGAATTGGGACAATTCACTGTCCATCAAGTCTACCTCATGTTCCTCCTTCTGGCCTTGGATGTCACTTGCAGTAGAAGGAGTGCTGGCCTGGCTCCTTCTCACGTGACCTTTCCTCTTTGAGGGCTTGTAGAGGGGTCCAATAAATGCTGTGCTGGTACTGTAGATGCCGTCTTCTCTGGAGACCCCTGGAGAACGCAGGCCGCCCAGAGGTCTCGGCAACTCTGTGGTTTCCCTTGTGTCTTCCTGAAGTTGGTGACCGAGTACAGGGACAGGTGGGACAGGTGCCCAGCCAGAGCCCGCCTCCTCCTCGACTGTGTGCAAATGAGCCGGAGTATCAGCCTCTTCTTCAGCTGACTTCACTCTTTTGTAGCATGGTTCACTCAGTGGTTCTATTCCCTGAGCCAGGGCTTTATCTTCAACTTCACCAAATGGCATCTAAGAAGAAAGAAACTGTATCAGTGAGACAAAACATTGTAAACAGCAAAGGGGCTGTAACAGCAAACCACTCAGCTCCAAACAGTCCTTCAGCAGCTCCACCAAAGACCTGGAAATCAGCTTCCAAGGAGAGGGCGGCCATTGATGAATTGGGGGTGGGGTGGAGGCTGCTTCTACTGTCCCTGGGGGCACAGGCTACTAAGGAATCCCTGGGAGGAGCTTCTACTCTGTCCCTGGGTTATCAGCCTGATGAATGGAGGGGGGCTTCTACTCTGTCCCTAGGGTCTCAGCCTGATGAACCCGAGGGGAGGCTTCTATTGTGTCCCTGGGGTGCCAGCCTGGTGAACTCCTGGGGGGACTGCTACCCAGTCCTATGGGTTTTGAGTGACAAACACTTTGACAGCACCAAACAATTAGTGACAGAGTTGAAAACTACCTCAATGCTAGCAAAATAAATTCCAAAAATGTATTCCAAAATTATTCCTTCAGAAACAATAATTTTGGTTAAAAGACTGTATTTGTGGTACAAATACTTAATATTAACATCTTCCTAAAACATCAAGAGTTATACCGATACTTTATAATCACTAATTATTTAAGTACTATGATAAATTGAGTTAGAGTAAAGCACAGAAATCTCATTAAATAATCCCTCTAAATGCAAGAAAAATCACTCCGAGGTGAGTGTGAGGCAGCAAGTTTGACAAGTTTAATCAGCAGCACACGCCTTCATGAGACACAAGTGGCAGTGACATCAGAATGTGTATGGTCACAGGTTCACAGAAAACCTATCCCAGCATTTTCCTGTCTCCAACCAATGTGGCCCAAACCTCAGACAGCGCCCATCCTTGGTAACAGGGCATGGGGGTGGCTGAGTGCCAAGAGTCTGAACGTGCTCGTGGGTGACCCTCTGGGGGTTTACAAGAATACAGAGCGGACTGCGGCACCTTCCTCCAACGAACAGCCAGTAGATTCAAACTGCCTAGCTTCGGATTGGCAGGGAGTTGAACTGCGCACCCACAGGCACATGGTTCGAATCCACGAGCTGCTCCAGGGAGAGGATGGGCAATCTCCTCCCGTGCGATTTACAGCCTTTGAAAGCTCGCTAGAAGGGCAGCTGAGTAAGTTCTGCCGGCTACCACAGAACAAAACCAGGCCTGCAGAGCTGGGCAACGAATGGCACCCAGAAGTACTGATGTCTCCACAGGCAGGGAGTGTGAGGACGAAGAACATCGCATGGACAGCCAGAACGCTCCTTGGAAAGCGGGCGAGTCCAGTGCACACCCTTTGGGCCCATTATGAGAAAGGTCATCGCACGGGGGAGGCCCCCAGGATGGGGACAAGGCAGGGCAGGCCAGTGTGGCTGGTGTGGTTCATCTCGGCTGGGTAGACTCAGCACGCAGGCACCCACAGGGCAGGGTCTCCCCGGCAGGGTCCCCCCGGCAGGGTCCACGTGCGTGTCCCTCGAGAAGGAGCGCAGGGTCGGTGAGAAGACATCCTTCTGCCACAGGGCGCAGGGGTCAACAGTGGACGCCCCCGAAGGCGGCAGGGCGCTGGACGAGCCGCAGATCCGGACCCCAGCAGACCGAGTCCCTGTCCACCTCGGGAGTGAAATCAGAGGCACAGGGGGCACCGACCCGGCGGGGCCGCGCCAGCCGCTTGTCCGCGCGATGCTGGGCACCGATCCCGCCTGCACGGAGCGGCCAGCGATGCTGAACGCCGCTGTCCAGCAGCCCAGGTCCTTCCTCCCGGTTCCATCGGGGGCCGTGGCGGGGAGCTCGGGCCTGGGGCCCAGCACCGACAGTCCGCAGGGCCGCATCCGCCAGCTGCCCGGAGGGAGGCGGTCCTCCGCGGCGGACGCCCCCCAACGCCATCAACTCACCGTAAGCCCCGCTCTGCATCGACCTTCCCTTCTGAACGGCACCGCGGGCCAAGCCGCCTCCCCCGAGGTTAGAGCAGCGCGAAGACACCGGCCCTACACCGGGGAGCGCAGGCCCCACGGCGCACGACCATCACGGCCACGCACCGCGCAGGCCCCGCCCGACGCCGCGGCCGCCACGAGCATTGTGGGAGTTGGAGTCCGGCGCGCGCCCGTGACCTGCGAACGGGGCAGCGTGGGGACTCGCTCTCCCAGAAGGCATTGCGCGACAGAGCCGGCGCGCCCCCTGCCTGACCCGGAAGTGAGACGTGGTGTCCCAGCATGCATTGGGTGGCCACGCAGGCGCTTGGCAGTTCCCCGCCCGGTGCGGGTGAACGGGTGACCTTCCCGCGGGTTTTTAGAAGCAGTAGATCGTCCAGGAAGGAACTGTCCATCTCTCTCCCGCGGAGCAGCTCGTGGATTCGAGCCACGTGCCTCCTCGTTGGCAGCGGAGCCCTTTACCGCTAGCCCACCCGCGCTCCGTCAGACCGGAAGTGGCCCAGTTTCCCCGGGGAAGACTTAAGTGTCCACTGAAAAGCGCGGACACTTGCTGCAGTGTGTACCTCATAAGAGGACGGGCGCGCGTGCGGCGCCTGGGAGCCCGAGGGGCCTGGAGGCGCTGCTGGGCAGACAGGGTGCAGCAGCAGCGAGGAGTGTTAAACTCCTTTGGAAAAGCACGTGTCTGGAGCACCGTCCAGTCCTGGCTTGTTTTTCTTAACCACCTGCCCCTGCTGGAGCCTGTGCCCGAACATTACCTCCCTACGTGGGAAATTGCCAATTTCGCCGTCTTTAAAATAAATTTCTCGGTAGGTATATAGACTCGCGTCCCGCTCTGCTTTTCATCACAAGGAAGATAGTAAAATCACATCTCGAAATGTTTGCATTGGGTTAAGTTACAGCCGTGGGAACGAGAGGACTCACCAAAAGACGGGCGCTGCGCGGGACTGGGACCTGCGGCCCCGATCCCGGGGCGGATGCGCGGGGCATGCCCGGTCCTGCGCCTGTCACTGTCCGTCCTGCGCTGGTCACTGTGCGGGACGGTCGCGGGGTCCGAGCGCGTTTCGCTGGGTCGCAGACCCTCCGCTTCCCCAAGTGTGAAGTCCCTGTCCTTGGACTGGGCTCTTGATGGACAAGAGGAAACCTGGCCACCCTTGTCTTACAGGTGCTCTAATCCTTCCAAGACGGAGACCGGGAATGGCAGAGTAGTGCCAAGTGGACACTGGACCTCCTAGAAAAGAGAAGAGAGGCCTTTGCTTGCTGTCCTTATGCCCGTGGTCTCCTCCATAGAGAAGGAAGATGCGAGTCCCCTGGTACTGCGGACACAAAGCTACCCCACGTAGCTGCTTAGAACTGTCCCCTAGGATGGACCGTACTTTACTGACATCGAGTGCCACCGATTCACCCGATGGACTACCCATCCAGACTGTGGTCCATACAGGGTCAGATCACCTCATGGTTCTGCCAATGGACTTCTGATCCAGACTGTTGTCCATACACGGTCAGATCTCCCCATGGAGCAGCCGATGGCCTTCCAGTCTGGACTGTGGTCCATGAGGGTCAGATCGCCTCATGGACTGCTGATGGACTTGAGGTCTGGACTGTCATCAGTACAGGAACTGTGAAGCCACCAATTGAATTCCGGTCTGAGCTTTCGTTGGTACTTTTTTTTTTTATTAAGCAGTAATTTTCAGTTTACTCCATGAAACAGACTTGCAGCGTCATCTGCATGAATGCAAAACAAGCCATCTACAGCAAGTGATAAGAAAACTGGGCAAAAAGGAAAAAGCATACATGGAGGGGGAGATTCTCGAAATAAAAAAAAATCAAACCATTATTATAAAGGTTTTTACCAAGATTGCTATATTTCCCCCATCCCATTTGCTGGAAGTCAACAAGAGCATCTAGCACTTTGTGTTCATGTCAAATACCAGATTAGAGCATCCTAACGCAAAGCAAAAGGGGGATGGACGGACTAAACCAAAAAAGAAAAACTCCCAAGCTCCCTTAAACGATAGAACAGTAAACTTCAAAGTTCAGATTTAAAAGAAGAGAAAGTGGCCATTGAAAGAGGTGATGGTGGGGATAATCCTATGAATGGGTTTTTTACTTCTCTCCTGGGGGGGGGGGGGGTGGAGAAATGCTCATTAGGATTTGTAGTTAGAGGATATGTGAGCCCCTCATAAAGTCCATGCATCAGAGAGTTGGACAATGACTAGGGAGGATAGAAGGAGAATTGATGCCTTTGAGCTGTGGTGCTGGAGAAGAGTATTGAATGTACTATGGACTGCTAGGAAAACAAACATTCATCCTAGAGAGGGTTAAACCAGACTGCTCCTTGGAGGCAAGGATTCTGGGTTTCGTCTGACATACTTTGGGTATGTTGTAAGGAGAGACAGGTCTTGGAGAGGGACATCATGCTTGGGAGGGTGGAGGGACGGCGCAGAAGGGGAAGACCCTCTATGAGGTGGATTGATTAAGTGACTGGGGTAGTCAGGATGGGTGTGTCAGAGACAGTGCAATTGGCACAGGACAGAGCGGAGCTTAGGGCTGTTGTACATAGGGTCGCTATAAGTCGCAAGCGACTGGATGGCACATAACAATAACAACAACACAGAATCCATCCCCTGAGGTGGCACAAGAGGACTGCACATACCAGCCAGTTCCTTTCCCGAATCCGAGTCAGGCCCAGTTTCTCCTGGATCTCGGGTTTTATGGCATCGGGCAGGCCCTTCTTGACGAAGATAAGGATTGTGGCGTCCTTCCTCTCCTGGTCATTGATAATGCGGTGCAGCAGCTCCTGGAGGACAGCGGGAACACACCACAACTGGCAGGACTAAGGGAGCTTTGAGACACCAACCTGAGCCATGAGGCTGAAGGTCAAAGGGCCTGCAACAGGTGTAAGCAGCTGTCTGGACTGAGGGACCGGACCGTATCTGCTGTCACCTGAATGGCAGCTAAGCTTCCGTAATGAACCCCATAACTGTGAACACAGCTCTGTGAGGTCTGTGTGGTCACTGCAAGGGACTTCAGACTGTTCAGGGTAGTAGGATTGGTGTGGAAATAGTAGAAGTGTCGGAGGGTG